TTTATTAGTTCCCATAATAGAAGAACTAGAGGACACCAAATGAAATTAATGGGTATCAGGTTTAAAACTAATAAAAGAAAGCTTTTCTTCACACAGCATGTACTCAACCTGTGAAATTCCTTGCCGGAGGAGTCTGTGAAGGCTAGGACTATAACAGAGTTTAAAGAGAAGCTAGATAATTTCATGGAGGTTAGGTCCATAAAAGGCTATTAGCCAGGGGATAGAAATGGTGTCCCTGGCCTCTGTTTGTCAGAGGCTGGAGAAGGATGGCAGGAGACAAATCACTTGATCGTTATCTTTGGTCCACCCTCTCTGGGGCACCTGGTGCTGGCCACTGTCAGGCTACTGGGCTAGATGGACCTTTGGTCTGACCCAGTACGGCCGTTCTTATGTTCTTACGGTTATTTTTCAACAGGACAGTTTTTTGTCTCATAGGTTTCCAGTTATTAAAATTGTAGCCAGGTCCGTCCTTAGGATTTATGGCATCCCACACAGTACAGGTTGTACCTCCCTAAACCGGGACTCTCTGGTCCATTGCTGGACCATGAATGTTCCTGGACCAGGGAGCCCAGGAGCAGGGAGGCCAGTGATGAATAGGGGACTCGGGCAATGTGGGGAGCAAGCGCCAGAGGGCTGAGGTGACACGGGGAATCCTGCAATGCGGCCAAGAGCCCCGCGGCAGGGAGCCCACCAGCGGAGGGAGCTCCGGTGGTGCAGCCAGGAATGCGGCAGGAGCTTAGGCAGATCAAGGAGCCCTGTGGCAGGGGGCTCAGGCAGTGCAGCTGGCAGTCCCAGCGCAGAGGGATCCAGCCAGGGCCAGTAGAACAGCTGGCTGGGGCCAGAAGTAGAGTCAGCAGGTGCCTGGAAGGCTGGTGACCTCTCCTGGTCTGGCAAACTTCCTTGTTCGGGACCAGCTGGGTCCCAAGGGTGCCAGACCACGGAGGTCCAATCTGTACTATTAAATGGGTTCCCCTATGCCCGATGGCAGCCAGAGGCAGGGCACAATGATTTTTAGAGCTGCAGTTTTATAATCTTCAACACACTAATGAAATATTTTTAGAAACGAATTTTAAACAAAGGTTCTGTGGGACTCACGCAGTAATTTCAGAAACTGACATTGGCCAGGCCTGTGAAATGGCTTCATTACCGCTTGAATGGCGCTTCCACGGGTTAGCTGTTCTGTTAATAGCTCTGGCAGACTTCCAACTAGATCCTGTCTGGAGGAAGCAGCGCCACAGAAGAGGAGTAAGAAGAGGCAGGTGGGTGGACAGTAAGATCCTGTGGTGCCCCAAATATTCGGGTGCCCTACACAACTGGGTCAGAACAACTCTGATTGTAACTAAGAACAAAGAAAACCTGCATCTGGCAGGTTTCTGCATTTGTAAATTTCACCTGATGGACTCTATTTCTGTGAATTCTTAAACTTAATTTTTTTTTAACCGTCACAAGCACGTGAAAGCAAAACTGACCTAATTCTTTTTTTTCATTTATACTGGAGTGACTCTGGAGTTCCTCCGTTAAGTCAGTAGAATGACACCACAGGCCCATCTTTCTAGAGGACGTCCAGTCCAACCACCCTAGAGAGAATGAGGCCCATCTCTGTCATGAACTCAGATACCGGCATGGTCCCATATTCACTGCACTGCCATCCTCGCCACTCTAAGAATCATTGTAAGAATAGGTTCACTGTTGTATGTACTAAGGCCACGTCTACACTAAAGTCAGGTCGAGTCAGCTAAATTGCTTCAGGGTGAAAAATTCCACCTAGTTAACCAACCCAGCCCCTAGTGTGGCCAGCGCTACAATGGAAGAATTCTTCTGTCGACCAAGCTGCCACCTCAGGGTGAGAAGAAATAACTACAGTGACCAGAGAACCACTTACTTCATTGGAGGAAGTACCTATGTCAGGGGTGGGAAACCTCAGGCCCGGGGGCCCGATACAGCCCCCCACTTACCAGGATCTGGCTCCCGAGGCTCTGCCCCTCCCCCCAGCATTGGGGAGCCTATGCTGGTGCACTGTCTCTCTGT